CCCGCCCCCCACACACCTTGCTGCCTCTGAGAGAGAAGCAAGGAGGGAGGGAAATGTGAGTAGTTGACTCGACTACTCTTACATCCCTATTCCCCACCCCTGATTTAAACCATTTAATTTGAAATTCTTCAAAACAAATACATGCTGCTCAGGAACCTGTGTGACTACGTGGAGCATTTACACGTAGGAAAACACGCGTCTCATGTATTTTGAATACAATTGACAAAAATTGGAGAAATGTTCTTAGAAACATAGAGCTAGATCCCACCCACAATTCAGATCCCACCCACCATCAGCATTACACTGCTGCAGCAACTAAAAGCGTTTGGGAAGTTGACATAGAATCATAGAACACTAGGACTGGAAGGGACCTCGAGAGTCATCGAGTCCAGTCCCCTGCCCTCATGGCAGGACCAAATACTGTCTAGACCATCCCTGATTGACATTTATCTAACCTGCTCTTAAATATCCCCAGAGATGGGGATTCCACAACCTCCCTGGGCAATTTATTCCAGTGTTTAAATTGGAGGTTTTCCAGTGTAGGAAAATCCTGAGGTTGTAATGCAGGCTCTATCTCTCAACTTCCCTCCAGTCCACTGTCCCCGTATAGAGGACACTGTTGGGAAACGAGAGCACAGCCAGAGCTTTCTTGTGCTCCAAAGATCAAGCTAACCCCTGCAATAGTAGAGGCCAACTCTGCATTAGTATAGTAAAACACTCAATACAAAAAATACATTGAAATAAGGGTTATTTGCCAGTGCAGGGGAGCAATTACACACTGTTAAGTGTGTGTTTACATTTTTTCCTGATTTTCTGAATTGGGTAGCAGAAGTCATCACTAAGGTGAAAATGAATAGGCTGAACTGACCAAAGTCTGTTTTAAGATGAATATAAAAGCAATAATACGGATGTATAAGGCTGAGGAACAATCTCCCCAAGAGAAATGCTGGAAGTGCCATAGCTTGGGACACGGTTAAACTCTACTAGACAAAGTGTTGGAAAATCTACTCAGAGGAACAGATTTCCACTAGTCTAGGGATGGATTGGAATAGAGGGACTTCACATATTCCAGAGATTTGAGGATGATTTGCTGGAGGCGCCTGACGTGGTTTCAGGTACATGCTTGTAAGAATCAACTCTTGTTTTGTTTCCCACTGACATGCTTGCAATTTGTATATTTCTCCCAAACAGAAAAACTGGCAGAGTCAGACATCACAGCCACCCCCGTGCTGGGCTCACTGAGCATTATGAATGAGATATGTAACATCACCCTGAACTGCACCGTGCAGGGGGCAGGAGAGGACGTGAACTGCACCTGGAACCACACTGACAGCACTGTCAACTCCACGTCTATTCACATTTCGCACAGACTGGGAGACGAGGGCGCCTCTGTTACCTGCACAGCCAGGAACCCCGTCAGCAGCAGCTCAAAATCCATCTCCCTGAAGGAAGTGTGTGCAGGTAACAATCTGCTTTGTTACAAACATTCTTTTTGCCTATTAGGTAAATCAGACATTAGCCACCTATGGGTGAAATTCACTCCTGTGTAACGGACCAGTACAAGTCCTGCATCCCAGTGAAATTCCACACAAGCCCTAGTTTAAGGTTTTAAGTGGAATATAGACCATGGGCTGATACCTGCTCAGAGTGAATTTCACCCTTGTGACCCTGAGAAAAATATGCTTTAAAATAATCTGTAAAAGACCAGAATAGATTTTTGTTAAATCATTTCTGACAAATCCAAATGCAGCATTTTATCCTCATCCAATTTTGATTCTGACAGTAGTTTCTATCTAATATCAAGAATAATCTTGTATGCAGGTAGCATGGCTTAAAGGGGGAGTATTGATCAGGATGGGTTTTTACCTGCAGAAAATGTGACATTTTTGGAGAAAAAATGGAGCACTGAAATGTTTTGACTGAAACTCTGAATAACTCAATGTGAAAATGCTGTTGTTGTGCCTTATGGGAATTGTAGTTCAGATGTTTCATGCTCCTAGTCTCCTCCATATGGTCCTTCACCAGACTACAGCTGCCTTGCTGTACCACAGTCTCCCCTCTGAGAGGCTGTTTATCATGGGAAATCACTGGCCATGATGCATTTTGGGAGATGTAGTAAAGTTTGGGAGCCTGGCCCATAAGGAAGAGTAGAGAAATGCAGCAATCAAACTACACATCCCATAAGACATAGTGGCAGCAGTTGCAAGTTGAACTGTTGTTTTCTGCCTCTGATTTGGGGGAGGGGAGATCAACATTTTCAGTGGAAAGCAGACACTTGTTGCAATAAATTAAATTTTATCAAAAACCTTATTAAAAAT